GAGGGAGAAGCAGGCTTCTCACTGAGCGGGGAGCCCGATGTGGGACTCGATCCCAGGACCCTGGGACCATGACCTGAGCCGAAGGCAGACGCTTAACCTACTGAGCCACCCAGGTGCCCTTATATTCTTTTCCTAAAAACAATTTAGAATAATTTAATTTTATTACTTCTTTTATTATGTGGCATGTGGCAACATGTTCGAAGGATTTTGAGCTCTTTCATACAGAATGAAATTAGGGAGTTTTTCTCCTTGATAACCAATGAAACAATGGAATTTACACAGCAAATTTTGGCAAAGTTTGTTTAGAATTCCTGATCATTAGCCTTCTCTTCTGAGTGGAGTTCAGGCCCCCTCTTAGCTCCTGGACTAATTCCCTTGCCTCCAGTGTCACTATGTCCAACCTACCCGCTTTCCCCTACTCTGGACACTTTATAAAATCCAAAGGGAATAATACCATATTCCTTTTAAAAACTATGTTTAGCACACGATTTTGTACCCTCAAGATAAAAGTCGAGCCCATTTTGTGGGTAGATGAAGCCCTTGGTTACCCAGTGACTTCTACCTCCAGCCTGCCCTCCCCCTGCCCTCCCTCCCGCCTGGCCTCCCCCCTGCCCTCCCTCCAGCCTGGCCTCCCCCTGCCCTCCCTCCAGCCTGGCCTCCCCCCTGCTCTCCCTGATACCACCCTGCACTCTGGGCCCTGGTGTTCTGGTCTGTTTGGCTCCGTTCAGCTGGAAGGCCCCTCAGGGACCCTTCTGGTATAATCCTGTTGTGTCTCCCCGTGAGTGCCCTGAGTGCTGCCTCTTCAGGAAGCCAACACTGCCCTCTCCCCGCCAGAGCCCTCCTCCGAGTCTTCACAGGGGTCAGGAGAGTTTGTCATCTCTCTGGATGTCTGCGCCTGCCAGCTCCTTGACTGAAGGAACCTGATGTTGTCTTCTTACCACCTTCCACAGCCAGGGTTCAACGGCAGGTGCTGACAAGTGAGTTCCATACTGCCCTCCGGATATCCAAACCTAGGTTCATCTTCCTTCCCCAAATAACCCACCATTATCTGTGTGGAACCCACTCGCCCTGCGCTTCTGCCACTGATATGAACTTCGGTTCCATTCCTCAGTTTCCCCTGCCTGCAGCTCTTGGCTCTCCCCCACCTAAAGTCTACAGGTAGTCATTTCCTCCCATTTTCTCTCATGTGTGCTGATTCTGACAGATCAGGTCCTACATTTGCCAACATGGGCCCTACTTCCCAGCCCCTTCTCTTACTCGTGTTCACCTTCATGGTCGGAATGACCTTTATTTCTGATTTAATGGCTCTCCTTAGGGTCAATCTCAAAAGCCAACTTTTCGTTAAGTCTTTTCTCGATATCAGGAAATAGATGTGATTTCCAACAAACTGCCTTATTTTATATTACAAAACTCTGTGAGATGGGTGAATACTTCACAGCTAAGGTAGGGGTCTGAAGCTTAGAGAGGTCTAGAGGCTTTGCAAATGAACCAACAGTATGAATCCTTGGGTTCAGGAAGCCTAGTGAATGCAAAGGTATGCTAGTAAATACTTAACAACTGGCCCTCTGTTAAAAAAAAAAAAAAAGCCCTAATTCGTAACATTTGCTCATCTCCATAGCGTTTCCCACTGTGGGGGATTTCTAGCTGCAGCTGTGGTATCCTGGGAGTTTCTGGCTCACAAGAGTAGTTTCTACACCATGCCCTAGGTTGAGAGTTGGCTGACTTGAACCTGTCATCTTCTTCCTTCAGCACTTTGATATCATTAAAAAAAACAAACCTGACTCCAGAATCTTTAAAATGACCACTGTGCTCATCTCCGATGCTAGAGAGATGGCCCAAGCCGGTGTCCCCCTTCTGCGCACCCTCCTCCACTTAGTCCTTGACCAGCAAGCTGCTGCGCCGGTGCTGGGATTGTGGCCACCCCACGTACAGGCGCAGTGGCCCCTTGCTGCCATCTGGCTGGTGGGCGATCCAGTTCCTGAGCCCCATCCCTGGGGAATGAGTCTGGACTAACTGTCTTGGTTCGAGTGCCCCAGGAGCAGACCACAAGATAAGGATTTGAGTGTGAACAGTGCATTCGAGGGGAAGGCCTGGGAAACATGGGAGGGGGAGTGGGGGTAATGGGACAGGGCAGGTAGGAAACCAGTAAAGGCTGCGCTATCCAGTAGATTTCCAGGCAGCGGGAGCTCAGACCTGAACCATGGGGGCTAGCAGAGAACCTCGTCCCACTGGGTAACGAACTGAGGGTCCTCATGCACTCGTGGCCCGAGGTGCCCTCAGGAGAGAGTGTTTCCCTGGCGCTTCAGGCCTTCCCCAAACGCAGACAGAGCAGGCTCCGGTGGCCAGAAAAGCCAGCAGGCAAATCATCTCAGGTGCTGGCAGTTGGAGATGGGCCCATGGTGCGGGGCAAAGTCCATTTCAAAGGCATAGGTGACGTGTAGCGTGGATAAACGGTGATACAGATAGACAATTGAAAGTCACAAAATCCTCACCAGTAAAATTAAAAGTAATATAATTTTAAGAAATAGAAGTTGGGTGATAAATTTTCATTCTTTGGAAGGCACCGTTCATGGTTGATGAGCGAAGATGTGGGAGTATAGCATTCAGAGTTATAAGAAGAAGCAGAAGAACGAAAACAAACTTAATGGTGGGAGGGTCTAGAGTGTGGGACTGGGTGAGGGGTGGGTGAGCAGGAAAGATGTGGGCACCGTTATTTTCTTTTAATATTTTCCCATTTTGTTTGGATTTTTTTGATAGATTCCTCAAAAATATTTTGTAAATACTTAATGATAAATAGTCTCAGTGTTAGGACAATAGATTTAAAAAAAATTTTTATTTTAATTCCAGTTGGTTAACATACAGTGTTGTATTAGTTTCAGGTGTATGATTTAGTGACTCAACACTTCCATACATCGCCCGGTGCTCATCACAAGTGCATTTTGTTCGGATTTTTAACCATCAGTTCCGCAACAAGCAGAACAAATGCAAACAAACCCTAATGTAATTACAAAAACTCGTATTTGGAGTACCCCTCCACAGAATACTACACGGGAGTTAAAGAAGGAGGTAGAATCTGTGTGTACAAATATCAAAAGGTGGTCAGGATTTGTTAAGTGGAATTAGTAAATTAAAAAGTAAGCCTAGGATGCAAATTATGCAAGGGGAGAAGTATGTGTGTATGGAACATATTTCTTTCTTTTTTTTTTTTAAAAGATTTTATTTATTTATTTGAGAGAGAGAATGAGAGACAAGAGAGCATGAGAGGGAGGAGGGTCAGAGGGAGAAGCAGACTCCCCGCTGAGCAGGGAGCCCGATGCGGGACTTGATCCCGGGACTCCAGGATCATGACCGGAGCCGAAGGCAGTTGCCCAACCAACTGAGCCACCCAGGCGCCCTGGAACATATTTCTATATAAGGTTGTCTGGAAAGACATATACCAATTTTAACAGATGCTGCTAGTTGGGAGAAGAGCAGCGGGCAAGGTGGAAAATCTCCACTTCTGCTTTCTTCCTTTACACGATAATCTGCAGACCCCTCTCCCCGCTCCCCCCCCCCACTGGCATTACAATCACCTGGGGTTTTAAAAAGATTCCTAGGACCTACCGCAGACCCAGGGAGGGTGCCTAGGGTAGGGTTTCCAGAATCTGCACTTTTTCTTAATTAGCTTCCTCATAGTTTGGGGTTCCCTCACTTTCCCAGCATGTTATTGAAAAACTGTTGAAACATGCAGTGCAATAGAAAAACTATTGAAACATTGCAGAAGAGTACAATAGCATGCTGAACATCCATATGTAACCTGCATTGTACTCCAGTGTAAACATGCACACTCTGTGTGCACGTGCACATACACACACACCCATGTATTGATAACCTCAAAAATAGAAGTCAGTTTTGTTTTGGTTTTGTTTTTTACCAGCAAAAATGGGTTTATTTGGGAATAACAGAGAACTGCAATTTAGGACATGCAAGCTATGGCAAAACCATGGGCAAGTCCCCCAAAGGAGAGGAACATTATTTTATGAAGAAGGAGGAAATTGGAAGGGGTTGTTTTGAACCAAAGTCCTTTGGAGAAAGCAAGAGGTCAGGGTGGGGATGATTTCTCATTGGCTGAATTGCAGCTGTGGTGGATTTTTTTGTAGGAGGTGCAGTGTACAGTTTTTCTTGTTGGGGCCTGTAATTGATGATTCTGTCCCCTGTGGACCTCTATTCTCCTGAGATCTGTAACCGACTGAACTGTTCCTGTGACTGACATTGAGTAGGAAAGCTCCCTCTACCCGCTTCAGGCGTATCCAGTACATGCTCCCGCGGCTCCCTGTGAGCGCGTGCGCGCACACACACACACACACACACACACACACACACACACGTACGTACGGGCTCTATCCGTGAGCGTGTGCGCACACATGCATGCATGTACAGGCTGTCTCTCGGTGAGCGCGTGCACACACACGCATGTTTGCACATGCTCTCTCTTGAGCACATTTACATGTATACGCATGCATGCCTGTGTGTGCAGGCTCTAGCGCGGTGAGCGGTGCACACACACACACATTCCCGCGTGTATGTGCACATATTTCGGCAGCACGGCGGAAACGAGGCAGACATCAGGACTTTCCCAGCTGGAGCGTGCCTGCACGGGTAGCAGGCACCGGCCTCGGACACAGATCTCCGCCTGCCCCGTCCCGCCCCGTCCCGCCCGGGGCCAGCTAAGCAGGACAGGGCGTCCCTTTCAACCTGTGCGAACACGTCTAACGTTCACAGCACACAATTTATTCATGCGTGCGATGTAATCCAATTTTAATGACGAGGCACCGCAGTGCCGCGTGGCCACTCTCCCCGCCGCCCTCGAAACTCGCCGTCAGCGGAGGCCAGCCACGGCCACCCGGCCCCGCCCCAGCCGCAGGCCCCGCCCCCCACGGACACGGGGGCCCCGCCCCCGACGCCGGGGCGGGCTTCGCGCCGGGGCGGGGGGCGTGGTCTCGGCCGCGTCGCCGCGCGGCGTGCGGAACCTGCGGCGGCCGCTGGCCGTTGGCGCGGCTTGGGCGGTTGTCTTGGAGAAGCAAGATGGCGGCGGCGGCGGCCGCGGTGGTGCCGGAGGAGGACACGGAGCTGCGAGACCTGCTGGTGCAGACTCTGGAGAACAGCGGGGTCCTGAACCGCATCAAGGTGGAGCGGGCCGGGCCGGGCCGCGGGGGCGCCGGCTGCGCCCGCGGGGGCCGCAGGGCCCGTGCGGCCGGCGGGCGTCACAAAGGGTCGCGCGGGGCCGCCGCTG